CCCGGACCCCGCGCCCCGGCCCTGAGCCGCGCCACTGCAGCGCCCGCCCACCGCCGCCGGCGGGGCCATGCGGAGAGCCACCAGGATGGAGGACTTCGCAGAGGAAGAGGAGCCCTGGTACGACCAGCAGGATCTGGAGCAGGGTGAGCGCGGCGGGGAGGGAAGCGGGGAAGCGGGGGTCCGTTACTCCATTGTCGGGCGGCATCACCCCAAGAAAGGCTGGGCTGGACCTAGTGAGCCCGACTCAGCAGTGATGCGTCTGGAGAATGGGGACGTGGAAAGAGGGGCGCTGCCCGAGAGACCCAGACTAGTCGCCTGATAGAGCAGCAAAAGGGGATGGAGGCGGTCTTCCTATTTCTCCAGTCGACTGAGCATCCATCATCCAGCTCGCCCACCTCATCTTGCGGGCAGCTACTGCCCAGATGCCCCTGGTGTTGTTAGAGGCCTGGGTACTGGCTGAAGGTCTTTGGAAGGTGGGAGGGAGCTAATGGTATGTTTTGCTCGGAGGGTGCTGTATGTAGAGGGGAGTCATCTCGTTCCAAATCTAGCAGCACCTGTCCCTCCAGGATATCTAAACTCTGAGACTCCCAGAAAGTTTCCCCAACTCGCTTCCCTTTTACCCAGGGAGGGGATGGTGCAGGGACCATGCCGGTGGAGAAGGGGAAAGTGGAGTCTTCTATCTGTCTTCATGAGGAAAGAGTCTCCTTTCCCTGGGGCCCCTCCCAGTGGCTCAGGGTTTGGAGGGGGCCCGTTTAGGTAATTCCCAGTGCCAAGTTAGAGCCTGAATAAGGAGAGCCACATCCACCAGCCTCTCATCTGAGGAAGAGGGGGCCACAGGAAGGGGGTTAGGAGCTGGTGATGAGGTGGCCAAAGTGACATCACTGCGAGGAGGGAGGAGCAGGGCTGTTGGGACAGGAAGGAGGAGGCCTGAGAGGGTCAGGGCCAAGGCTTGCTGGAGTGGAGTCAAATCCATGCTGTCCTCCCCCAAGGTGCCTCATTCTTGGGTGATGAGATCTGGAGGGGGCCAGGAAGTATGTCCAGGGAGAAATGACCTTCCCATGGTCACAGGCATGCCTAAAGGATATGGACACACCCTGGTCTCCATCCCCAGGGCACTTGCGCTCCTGCTTTGCCTGGAAGGGAAGCATCCACCCAAGTCCTAGAAGCTTTGTGTCCTGGGCCTGACCCACTTCCTACGCTGCCAAGATTCACAGGCAGATGAAGTGTTGTCCTTATGCTTAGACTATGGGCTAATCAGGTTCTCAGCGGACCATGTGGGATGGCGGGCTCTGGGCTATATACCCTGCTGTGCTCAGTACCCGGGACTCCAGCCTCGGCCTCCCAGTGAGATGGCCTACATTGACTGTGATGCCCTTCTTCCCCATCCTAGGCACAAACACCTATGGGTCTTACTTAAGTGCCAGACACCATCCTAGGAGCTGGCAACAATCACAGCCCCTGACCCTCTCAGTATTCTTGGTGAGTGGAGGAGGCCTACTTGTAACTAAGAAGATAGGTAGTACAGCATTATGGGATGGCTTCCTGGAAGAAGCAGGCTTAGAAGGAAAGGTTGGAAATTGGAGTTCTGGGGAAGATGGCCTCTCTGGAAGGCAGATGCTGATACTAATGCAGTATCATTAAGTTCCTGCACCCTTAACCAAGGTTTGGCACCATGCCCATCCCAGATGTGGGAGGAAGGAGCTTGGGAGTTATGCAGCTTCTGAGGAAGGGAGAGGTATTGAGATTCCAGCAGGGCTGAGCAGCTCTGCTCTGGGGCTGGGTGGGGGATGGGCACTGCAGGCCCAGCTTCTCTCCCTGCTGGCTTGTGGCTAGGTCAGCACCCTCAGTGGGAGCTGGAGCCCAGGAATGAGGGGAACCAGCAATGAGATAGTCTCAGAAGAAACTGGAGCTTTTCACCCCAAACAAGATGTCTGTTTGCCATGGGCCAGGTGCCATGTTGAACCTAGGGATATAGTCTCTGCCCTTAGGGGACCCCACGCTCCAGCCGAGGAGACCAGTGGGATCAAATTAATGACCATCACAGTGCAAGGAGTTCTGTAACCCCTTGGCCCAGAGAGAGTGAGAGCAGAGACTCAAAAAGGTTTATGCCAAAGCTCCTTTGAGCCAGGAAGTGAAGGAAGGAAGCGGAAGGCATTCTAGGGAGAAGGGATGCTAGTATCAGGCTTGGAGGCTTGTAAAAAGACAGGCAAGTGGGGTGGGGGACAGAGGAAGTCCTGGGTGCAGCTGCTGGGGCGATAGCCCCCTCCCTGCCCCCTAAGGGCACACAGAGAGCTGAATGTGGAGCAGGGTGGCCAGCCAGAGAGCAGCCACATGGGGGTCGGGGCCCTTTCCTCCTTCCCTACTCCCAGTACCTGAACACTCTTCTTCCAAATTGCTCCCTGTTGGCCCGCAGTGGCCTGGGAATAGTTTTCTCATCAGCCACCTCTCCTTCCATGCCCGTTTCCCATGCCCCAGGGCAAGTCCTGACTTCACTCTCCAGCAGCGTGACCACAGAGATCCTGTTTGACTTTGATGCTCTCTGTCCCAGTGGAAGGAGGTGATTGGGACAGGCGAGGTCTTTAGATTCACCGTGTTCCCTCTGCCCACTGCCTCAAGCACCTGTAAAAATAGAAAAAAGCCATTAATTATTAAGCACAGGCTCTCTCTGCCCACCTCCCTCCCCCACCTTGGACCAGTATGGCAGGCCCTGTGGACATCTCTGTCCAGGCTGAGAGATGGCTGCTGAGTCACAGATTTGAAGTCCCAGACAGGCAATGACCCTCTCCTCTCCTGCCCAGCCTGTCCTTGAGTCTTCAGCCTCTGGGGAGGGATCTGAGATGGCAAGGGGAGGGATGTCCCTCCTCTACCCTGTTTGCCCTAAAGGTGACCAGATTCCAATAGTGTGACCCTGAGTTGCTGACATTTGTGCCCCGAGGGCTGTAGCAGGACCCCACAATCATGCTGGGTTATATCAGGTGTCCTCCACCCTGGGCCCACACCCTTTTCCTTCATCTCCTCTTCTCTGTGCCCGTTCCCTCTCCCTTTCCCACCTCTCTGTCCTGGAGTCAGACATGCCCCATCTGACACAGCCAGAAGGAGCACAGAATTTTCAGATTTCTTTTCAAAAAAAATCTCCTGGGTCCCCCTGGCCATTCCCACTCAGGCCTCCGGGTATTGCCTCATAGAAAACCACTGAAGTCCTCTGAAAGAGACCCCAGAAAAAAAAAAAAAAAAAAAAAAAACCAGATTCTGGTCGGGAGGTGTCAACCTGAACTCAGGACCTTCCCCAGCTTGGTCCAGTGTGGCCCACTGATCTGGCTGTGATAGTCTGTTGGTCCCTGGGCTCCTAGATCCTGCTTAGCCAGCTCCCACAGTCTCCTGCTCTCAGGCCACCCTCCCCCGAGCCTGGAGCCAACAGCAGTCCTCAGCAAGCTGGTGTCCTTTCCCACCACTTGGCTCCACTCAGTCCCCTGCTCTGCAGCTTCCAGACTCCTGTGATCCCTCTGGCAGCTTTGAGCACTTAGCTTGCACTGCGATCCGGTTTCCCTGAATCAGTCCGAGATTCTCCTCTCCCACTCCCAAAGCTTCCATTATGTTTCCTTTCCTCCCTATTCTTGAACTGCTAGGTGGCCCAGGTCACATTCCCTGCCTTTGCAGGGCCATCTGTGCTATCCCCAGTGTGGTGTATACTGCCCTGTACACAACACACGGGGAACAGTGCCCCAGCCCGCAGTGGTAGGAGCTCACCTGGAGGGAGGAGCATGGTGCTCACCTGCACGCGGCCTTTCTTCTTCACCCCCTTTCTGATGTTGTGGATTCTGGTTCAGCTGCAGCAGCTCCATGCAGAGCTGGTATTAAGAGCAATGGCCTGTTCACAGACTGCTAGATGGTTCCAAGCGGGGAGACATTTAGGAGGAAGGCCTTCTGTTCTATTGCATTTATACCCGAATTACTTGCTACCACGCAGGGGTGAGCTGAATGCTTGCCATCCCATTTCAGAAATTAACTGTCACCCCACCTTGGGGCGGTCTTGCTGGGATCCCACCTCCTACCAAGCACATGACTTAACACAAGGCAGTAATTCTCCAATCACTACATCAAACTTCACGCCTTGTAAACACCTCTAGACTTTTGCTCAAGTTACAGTTTATCAATTACTATAGCACGTGTTCTTGTTCCCTTACCAGTTTATATTAGGTAACCAGCTCTTCTTGGCATCCTCAGAAGCAAGTTAATTGCTCAAGGCTAAATTCTCTTATCTATGATTTATATAATTTAGCTTTGTTTTCTTAGGGAAAGCTGCTTTCTTTCTCTGGACTATGCCATTGCCGCCTGGCTTCAGGGCAGCAGCTGTTCTCTGCTTCAGGTGGGGCCCTCCTCCAGGCTTAAGCCTGCCACGGGGGCTCCACTCTGGCTGTTTCAAAACCTCTCCTCCAGACTTGTTCCTGAACGGCAGCTTGGCCTTTCATGCAGGCCACTGGCTGGTCAGGCCCCTCTGGCTTTCACAGGGCAAACCCAGATTGGTGGGAAGTGAGTCACAGGTTCTGCTCTCAGCTTCCCAGCCCTTGTTTCTGCTCTCCAGGCTTATCCAGGAGGAGGCCACCAGGCCAGGCCTGTCCACTGCATACCACAGGGCTCAGTGGAAACCTGCCAGCAGGGAATAAAAGCCCCTCCACCCTCTAGGGACCAGAGCTATCACTGTGCCTAAGAAGGGAAGCATTAATGAGCTGAGTCCCCAAACCACACCATCTTGGCCCCAGTGGAGCTGCCTTACGCATTTTGATCCAGATCTGTGCCATCAGCCTAGATTGAGGACTGTTTTCAGAAATATCATAATGTAAAAAAGACTAAAGCTTTCCTGCTTTAGGCCGAATGAATCAAAAAGGCCTCCATTTTGTCCCAGCAATTCTGTTTCCAGGAAAGTGTCCTAAAGAAACAGGCAGTGATTTGCACAAAGGTTTTATATGAAAAGTTAACACTCACTTCTTTTTTTTTTTTTTTTGTCTTTTCTTTTGTTTTGGTAGCAGGGATTAAACCCAGACCTTTAATATTGTTTTTTTTCTCAAAACAGGATCTCTCTAAGGCTGGCCTTGAACTTGTGATCCTCCTACCTCAGCCTCCCAAGCTTCTGGGATTACAGGCATGCACCACCACAGCTGGCTCATTTCACTTTAAATAGAGAAAAAATTGAAGACATCCTAAAGGTCCAACAATAAGGACTATTTAGGGACAGCCGCTTAGGAGCATATATACAATAAAATATTCCATATCTTCTTTAAATGCTCGTGTTAGCCTATATTGACTTGGAAAGCTCCCCTGCCCTATGGTTAAATGAGAAAGGCAGGAACAGAAAAAATATGACTCTGTTTACATAAAACTGTATCTATACATATTTTAAGCACAGAGAACTGTTTGGGAGGATAGTGAGAGCACTTTTATCTGGTACATTCTCTTTTTTCCTCCCACTCCATTCTTCTTCTCCTTCCACCTCATGCACACAAAGTGTAATTTTAATTACTAGCAAATGACATTCTTCTTTCATAACCATCTTGGGTCATCCATTTGTTTGTAGTATTCCAAGGCATAGACCTAAGAGCATACAAATGAAGTATATTTTCAGGTTTTTTTTTTTTTTTAAAAAGGGGGGGGAGTGAGAGAAGAGAGGGGGGGGGGGGAGAATTTTTAATATTTATTTTTTAGTTCTCGGCGGACACAACATCTTTGTTGGTATGTGGTGCTGAGGATCGAACCCAGGCCGCACGCATGCCAGGCAAGCGCGCTACCACTTGAGCCACATCCCCAGCCCCATGAGCCATATTCCCAGCCCCATAATTTTTTTAATCACAGTTTTTTACCTTTCTGTACTATTTGATTTATTTATTTATTTATTATTTTTTTATTTTTTGCACCAAGCATGCCTTAAGAAAAACACTGGAAAAAAGAAAGAAAGAAAAACATTGAAACTATTTTAGAAAGAAAACAGTCATTTGAAACAACCTGAGCTTGCTTTAAGGACCTCTTTAATTATTTACTCTCTTCCATCAATCTTGGTCCCCTGATTAAGCTGCCTAAAAAAATTTTTTTAAACAGCTTTATTGCATAATACACCATACAATCCACTCATTGAAAGCATACAATTCAGTGACTTTTAGTCTATTCAAAGATTTGTGCATCTATTACCGCAATCCATTTTAGAATAGTTTCATCCTTCTGTCTTTTTCTAGAAATGAAAATGATAAATATATTTAGTATATTTATTTGTGGGGGCAGGATGGTATACACTCCAAATATCTAGGATGGTAAACACTCGATAAGAAAATTTTTTAGGGATTTCTGTAACTGCCACTTTCTTTTATTCACCTTATACACATCCCTGTAAAAAGAAGACAGACTTCTCCAGCCTCTCTGATAGCGCTCATTTACCTGGGCAAGAAGAGGGGAGATTATTTCTACCAGCGAGGTTCAAGAACCAGGGCTGCTGGAGAAAGAGGATATTTTTGCTGCCCAGGGAAAAAGGAAAAGGTTTAAGAGAGGGGCATGTGCCACTAGCACATGGTACCCAATTAGGGTAAGGACACTTGAAATCAGCTCATGACCTTGAGCAAGTCACTCTTCCCTCTCCTACCTGTCATCCATAAAATGAAAAAGTTAGACCAAAGAATTCTGAATCTTACACCAGGTGTGGTGGTGCACACCTGTAATCCTAGTGGCTCAGGAGGCTGAGGCAGATGGATCATGAGTTCAAAGCTAGCCTCCGCAACTTAGCAAGGCCATAAGCAACTCAATGAGACCTGTCTCTAAGTAAAATGTAAAAAAGGGCTGAGGATGTTGATCAGTGGTTAAGCACCCCTGGCTAAGTACCAAAAGTAAAAAGAAATTCTGAATCTTCACCCAAATCCAGTAGCCTGTCCTCTCTGTATCTCAGGAAGTTTCTACTCACCCTTCAAAACCCAACTGACTTGCCTAGCATGCATAAGGCCCTGGATTCAAACCCCAGTACTAAACAAAACAGAAAAACCTGAAAGTGGCCCATTTGTCTGAGCCTCCTGCCATCCCCAGGAACAGTGAAGCTCTCTTACCTGTTGTCCCAGGGCACTTTGCCCCTATGTTTATCTATGAATTTGGTACAGGCATGGTGGTGCATGCCTGTAGTCTCACCTACTCAAGAGGCTAAGACTGGAGGATTGCAAGTCTAGGCCAGCCTCAGAAACTTAGCAAGAACCTCAACAGCATAGCGACACTCTGTCTCAAAACAAAGAAAAGAAAAAGGCCTGAGGATGTAACTCAGTGGTAAAGCACCCCTGGGTTTAAATTCCTAGCACCAAAAAAAAAAAAAAAAAAAAGGAAAAGAAATGCACTTAGCATATTTCAATTACTCGTTCTTTTGAAAGGATTTGTTGTGCACTTGCTCTGTACCAGGAGATAGTCAATTTTAAAAATTCCTGTCTCATGAGTTCACAATCAGTAGCAGAAATGAACTAGATCAATGAGCATCTTGTTTGGTAAGTTAGATGATGCTAAAGAGAAAAATTAAGTGGAGGAGAGATTGTGGGGCAAGGCAGGCTGTGACTTGAAATCACGTGTTTGCAGAAAGACCCCCCCCCCCCGAAGGTGACTAAGCACAGACTTGAAGGAGGACACAGGGTATGTCTGAGGAAAGGACATTTAAGATGTAAGTGGAAGCAATGCAAGACTTAGCTCCTGGCCTCCACGAGACTCCCTTAGGGCCGTCTGTGTTGTGGTGGCCTTGGAGTCCTGGGATCCAGCCCAGAATGAGTGAGAGAAGGGGAATGGCGGCCCTCTCTCATACTGCTGTGTTCCCCGCCCTCCACCTCCCCAGACTTGCACCTGGCCGCAGAGCTGGGGAAGACCCTGCTGGAGAGGAACAAGGAACTGGAGGAGTCCCTGCAGCAGATGTACTCCACCAACGAGGAGCAAGTGCAGGAGATCGAGGTAAGGGGCCTCGGGCCCTGGACATGCTTTCCTCCACCATCAAGGGTATGTCTTTGTGCAGCTTTGCCAAAGCAACCCTCTTAACAGACACAGCCTTGGTCCAACAGCCTTGGGCAGTTCACAACCTGCACAACTATTCCACGCAGCTCCGTTGCTCCACTGACTCTATCCCTACTCAACTGAAGACAAATACCTCCAAACAAAACTGTACCTAGGATTGGGAGGAATGCAAAGACAGACACTTCCCCCTGCCCCGCTCTAAAAGTCAGCTCCAACTTCCCCTTCTCCCCTAGTACCTGACCAAGCAGCTGGACACACTGCGGCACGTGAACGAGCAGCACGCCAAAGTGTATGAGCAGCTGGACCTGACAGCCCGGGACCTGGAGCTGACCAACCAGAGGCTGGTGCTGGATAGTAAGGCCGCCCAGCAGAAGATCCATGGGTGAGGGCTGGGCTGAGGCTGCGGGCGAGGGAGAGGCCCAGGGCTGGGAGCACGAGGGCACAGGGGCTGGTGTGGCTAGAGGCCCAGGCTGAGGAGCCCCAGATGGTCGTGAGTTTGTCCGCGTCCATCTTGCATGGTTTAACATTTGGCCTGCAACCCTTCTTTAAGCATCAAGTAGGCACCAGGCTGGGGTTTAGACTCTGGGGATACCATGGCGGGGTACACAGGTTGTGGGGTACACTGTCTTGCCTCTTGGAGTCCTCAGCTGGGGGGGAAAGCAGATGTGTAAATATCATACTGCAGAGTAGGATGATAAGTGACAGAGGCCTGTACAGGAACTGGGGTAGCTCAGAGTGATCAGCTTGGCCTGGGAGGTGTGAGAAAGGGTGTCTCCTCTGGGATGCAGACAGTTCTCCATCTGACCTCAGCACCAGGGAGCAAGGTTCAAAGTGACCTGTCAGTGCCCAACCCCATGTCCCTCCATCTGCAGGGATCCAGGGCTGCAGTGAGGGCCACCCCATCCCTTTAAAACTTTTCCTATGTATGTGTCCACCCCACGCTAGGTTGACAGAGACCATCGAGCGCCTGCAGGCCCAGGTGGAGGAGCTGCAGGCCCAGGTAGAACAGCTGCGCGACCTGGAGCAGCTGCGCGTGCGCCGGGAGAAGCGGGAACGCAGGCGCACCATCCACACCTTCCCCTGCCTCAAGGAGCTGTGCACCAGCCCGCGGTAGGTAGCTGGGACAGGAGGCAGGTGGGAAGGAAGACTGGTGCCTTGTCCAGGCCATGGGAGAGACTGCTGCGACAATCACAGCAGCTGCATTTATGGAGCACTGGCTGTGTACCACTACACTATTGGTTTAATTCTCATTGTCTACTCTGAAGCGTATTATTTTATTATACCTATTATTTAGACTAGAAAATTGAAGCTCAGAGGTTACATATCTTATCCAGGTCTCGTATTTATTAATAGGCATGGTCAGGTTTCTAACCCAACATGGGTTAAACACCGTACCTTTCAGATCTCATTAAATCTAAGATCAATGATCATTTAACCCATTAAGTCCCAAGTTTTCAATTCTGTGAATATTTCAGTGAAATTGATGCAGGTGTATTAAAATAGGTTGGAAATAATAATCTAGAGCCTATGTATATTATTATTTGATTGACCTTAATATATTTTAATTATTACAGTATAAAGTAATTATATTATTATTGTATACTATATTTAAGTTTTTATAGACATTCTACTTCTGGGATGATGGAACCAAATGGGTTAATATAAGAATAGAGAGTTGGCCAGGTGTGGTAGCACCTCCCTGTTATCCCAGAAGCTTGGAAGGTTGAGGCAGGAGAATCACGCATTCAAAGCCAGCCTGAGTAAGGGCTAAGCAACTCAGTGAGACCCTGCCTCTAAAAAAAAATACAAAAATAGGGCTGGGGATATAGCTCAGTGGTCCAGCGCCCTGGAGTTCACTCCCCTGTGCCAAAAAAAAGAAGAAGAAGAAGAAGAAGAAGAAGAAGAAGAACACAGGGCTAGTGTGTAGCTCAGTGGTGGAGCACTTACGTGCCTACCACTGGAAATGCCCTGGGTTCCATCCCCAGCACCAGAGGTGGGGCAGGGAACAGACTGCGTTTTTAGTGTGTGTTTCAGTAATGGTCTTTGCACAGAGTAATGGAGAGGGTTTAATAAAGAAGAGCAAGGTTATGAAAACCGCAGCACCCCAGGGTTGCAACAGAGTGGCTGAGGGGCCAGGGGAAGGGAGATGGATTACTACCTGGCTGGCACCAACAAAGGAAAAAGCCTGAGGAGGCCCCTGGTCACACACTTTGCATCTTGCTGGGTGCCTCCCTTTGCTGGGCTTAGGAGAGCAAGGGCCCTGCTGAGGCTGTCCATAGTGGTGCCCCACCCCCCGGGGGGATGGTAGAGTAGGGTGGAGAGCAGTAGACAGCAGAGACAGCCCAGGCAGAAGCAAGGTGTAAGTGTCTGAGCCTGGGCTTGGGAGCTTTGGAGATGACCACCTACCCTCACTCCTCTCACAGGTGCGAGGATGCCTTTCGCCTGCACAGCTCCTCCCTGGAGCTGGGCCCTCGGCCCCTGGAGCAGGAGAACGAGAGGCTGCAGACCTTGGTGGGAGTGCTGCGTTCCCAGGTGAGCCAGGAGCGGCAGCGCAAGGAGCGGGCAGAGCGCGAGTACACTGCGGTGCTGCAGGAGTACACGGAGCTGGAGCGGCAGCTGTGTGAGATGGAGGGCTGCCGCCTGCGCGTGCAGGAGCTGGAGGCCGAGCTGCTGGAGCTGCAGCAGATGAAGCAAGCCAAGACCTACCTGCTGGGCCGGGATGACCACCTGGCTGAGGCCCTGCTGGCACCCCTCACCCAGGCCCCTGAATCTGACGATCCCCAGCCGGGCATCGGAGATGACTCTGGTGCCCAGGACGGTGTCTCCTCACCTGCTGCCTCCCCCGGCCACGCGGTGCGTAAGAGCTGCAGCGACACGGCTCTCAATGCCATGGTGGCCAAAGACCCAGCCAGCAGGCACGCAGGCAACCTCACGCTGCACGCCAACAGCGTGCGCCGGCGGGGCATGTCCATCCTGCGGGAGGTGGATGAGCAGTACCACGCGCTGCTGGAGAAGTACGAAGAGCTGCTGAGCAAGTGCCGGCAGCACGGGGCTGGTGTGCGGCACACAGGCGTGCAGACCTCGCGGCCCATCTCCCGGGACAGCTCATGGAGGGACCTGCGGGGGGGCGAGGAGGGCCAGGGGGAGGCTAAGGCAGGTGAGAAGAGCCTGAGCCAGCATGTGGAGGCCGTGGACAAGCGGCTGGAGCAGAGCCAGCCCGAGTACAAGGCACTCTTCAAAGAGATCTTCGCCAGGATCCAGAAGACCAAGGCCGACATCAACTCCACCAAAGTTAAGACACACAGCAGCAAGTGACCCTTCTCTGGCCTGCGGCTTCCCCCGGGCTCCAGGCCATGGGGTCCCTCATGCCTGGACTACATAGCCTACAGTGAGTAAGAGAGCCCTTTAGCAGCAATATATCACAGCAGGTGGCCACTCCAGAGGGCCAGAGGAAAGGGGCCCCTCTGATCTGGGAACACTGCATGTTCCCCGTTGATGGAACAGCCAACTCCTGCAGGTTCTTGGCCACCAGCTTCAGCCTGAACTCAGTTTCAAAGCCAAACATTCCCCTCTCCACTGGGGTTTCCCCAGCTCCACTGGCCCTGGCTTCCAGACCCTGGGCCTCACTCTTAGATCTATGGCCCAGTTTCTGAAAGCCATTCCGGATCAGTTGGCTTCCCCACCCCCAAAGTTCAGTTTTTCTGAGAGATTTGCAATGCAAGGTCGCCTTGACCCCTTGCCACAACTGGAAACACTTGAAAGGGGACCCCCAGAGCCAGCTATTGCTGGTTTCTGGGGTCTCCTGGACCACCCACTGCTTCTCGCCAGCCGTGACTCGCTGTCATTCCCTTAGCACCAGCTGTCCCTACCCCCAGAGTCCTGAGCAGGTCACAGATAGCCCCTGCCTTGCAGAGCAGAAAGGCTCAGCCAGGTCCTGAGTGTCCCCCACTCCAGCCCTGGCAAGGACCCCTTGCCCATCGCAGAACTGTAGCCAATCAGAAGAGGGGAAGAGGGAGCCCCTCAACAGCCATACATGAGTGGTACCCTGTTTCCCTCAGCCAGCCTCCTTGAGCTCTAGCCCCAGAAATGCCTTCTGGGCATTCAGCCTTCCAGGGGCCGGATGGTGGAGAGCCCATGTCTGTATATCGCCTCTGCCTCCCTTCTCTGCACCTGCCCCATCTCAGGGACCATGATGTCTCATTCACTCCACGCTCCCCACAGGCCAGCCTGGCACAGGTCATACCTGCTGCCCCCAGAATGTCCTGGACACGGGCCACCAGTGGCCCCAGTGTCCATCCCCATTCCCCTTCACCCGAGACTCTCACCGCACATGAAGTCGTACTGAACTGGGTCGGGGATGAGGAATGATTTCCCGCCCTCCCACCTGCAAAATGCCTGCTCTTTACCTCCCAACTTTGTGGAGGGTGTTTGAAGCCCCAGCTGGGTCAGAGGTTCAATCTTTTGGTTTAAGACTTCAGAGTCTTAGTCAAGTTTCAGCTAAGAGATGCCCAGGTCCCCAGCTTGTCCTCGGCAGTCCTTCAGGGTTTCTTGTTCTTTAGTCATCCTCCTGAGACCCTAGAAATTGAAGGAGCCATACAATCCAGTGGAAGGCGGTGGCTCTGGCTTCTGTGCTGGGAGCCCAGAGGGAACCTTCATGCCTTATTTATTTCTAATGGGTAAAGGGGTTTCTTAACAAGCATACCTGATATCCCTCGGGATGCCACCTTGCTCTGGGCGGCACTGTGATGTGAGCTGGCGGCTGGGTCTTCTGTTTGTGCAACTTGGAACCTTTTGTCTTTTGGGGCTGGGCAGTTCCTAGCCCTCCGTATGTCTCTGTCATCTGGGGGAAGGGGTAAGCTCTGGCCTGTTTGCTCCCCAGCTCTGTAGCCGCCGACCAGCGTCTCCTTTGAAGTATACGTGAGAGAAATATATTTACAAATGCTTTATTCTCTTCTTTAATAAAAAATGCACCAGTATTCTAAAAAGCAGAAATGGCCCTAGAGCCAGGGTCCCATCTCTGTGTGTCTCACAGGCTTTCCTCCTGTCACACTCCACTGAAGGCCAGGAGGGTGCCTGAGCTCCCCTCCACTGTGACCCTCTACCTTTCCTCTGAAGCCCCTCAGGTTCTGAGCCCTCAGCCTCTCACTGCTCACCTCTCTGTGATCAGCATCCAAATCTCTAAATAGCATCTCCATGTTCATCGAGAGCCAGTGTCACCAGTCATGCTGGGGAGACAATAATGAACAAAAGAGACAGGGCTTGTCTTGCCTTGCAGTTCACATTCTAGTGTGGGCAAATTTCCCCAAAGTCAGCTAAAATAAACCAAAGATAGGGTGATGGAAAACTGGGGGCAGGAGGCTTGGTGTCATGTTAGCTAGGACACATGTACTCAATGGGAGTAAACTTTAAAAAAAAAAACACTTCTGTGTGGATATATGCATACAGTATATGAAGAGATATACAGTATATCTATGGTGTTAAAATCTCATGGTGGGGGGCTGTGGCTGTGGCTCAGTGGTAGAGAGCTTGCCTAGCATGTGTGAGGCACTGGATTCAATCCTCAGCACCACATAAAAATAAATAAAATAAAGACCCATTGACACAAAAAAATATTAAAAAAAAAAAATCTCATGGGGGAGCCGGGTGCAGTGGCCAGCGCATGTAATGCCAGCGGTTTGGGAGGCTGAGGCAGAAGGATCCTGAGTTCAAAGCCAGCCTCAACAAAAGTGAAATGCTAAGCAACTCAGTGAGACCCTAACTCTAAATCAAATACAAACAAGGGCTGGGGGTGTGACTCAGTGATCAAGTGTCCCTGAGTTCATTCAATCTGCGGTACAAAAAAAATAAAAGAGAGAAACCTCATAGTGGCCTTAGAGAAACCTCATGGTGGCCTTTTCACCATCATGACACTGAGGGCAAAGAAGGAAGCTCCTCACTGTCCCAAATCTGAAGCCAAAGCAAAGGTTTGGACTCTTAAGAAGGCAGTACTGAAAGGCGGCCACAGCCACAAAAAGATCTGCATGCCCTCTGCCTTCCAGCTGCCCAAATAGCTGTGGAAGAGCACCCCCCTCCCAGAGGCAACAGGCTCGACCTGCATGCCATCAGGTTCCCCAACCAGAGTCGGCCGTGGGGAAGACAGAAGACTGTTCCCTGTGGATGCTGAGGCCAGCAAGCAGCAGATCACACAGGCTATGAAGAAGCTTTGTGAGGTTGATGTGGCCAAGGTCAGCACCCTGATCAGGCCTGATGGAAAGAAGGCCTATGTTCACCTGGCTCCTGATTGTGATTCTTTGGATGTTGTCAACAGAATTAAGATTATCTATGATCTTAATTTTGTTGGCAACATCCAAAGAATCACAATAATTTTTTTTACGAAGGAACAATTAGGGGGAAAGTGTCCCCCTCCCAAGGGGGAAAAGGAGACTGATAATGGGGAAAGAAGATTGGGAAACGCTTGATGATACTGGCCTGGGCACACCGGCTGGTGTGATGATTAGCTGAGACTCAAGACTAGGGAGGCACCAGTGGAAACAGTAGGGCACGACCAGGCAGGGGATGAGAGTGGAGGCCAGGCCCCCCAGGGAGCAGGATTGGGAGGGTTGCACCTCCTAAGTGCAAGGAAAAGTGATTGCAAGGTTGACAGGTGTCATCCGTAGTTTTAAGGCTTCCACTGCATGGAAGTTGAATGATAGAGAGGAAAAGTGAAGGAGCCCAGGACAGAGGCTGAGCCCCAAGGGACCATGAAAGAGGAATAAACAGACCAGCCCTGGGGGAGCCACTTGGAATAGAGGAGAGTTGCAAGAATTACAACAGGACCCTCTCTAGGTATTTCCAAACCTATCAACCACTCACCTCTCTTCCATGTACACAGAAATACCTCGCAGCTTCCAGCTATTCCCAAAAACCTGTCTCTTCACCATGTTTTGAAGAGGTGAGGACAGTAGGCAGGAGAGTTGGTCACCCAGGGGGCTCACACTCAACCGCTGTGCTCCGGTGTGGAAAGTGTAGTCAGTCCACAGTCCATGGGTTTCTCTTTCCTCAATGCACAGTGATAGCACGTGTCCTTTTTAGAAGTTCCCATGCCCACACTGTCCTCTTCAAATCTGGTAATGACCTCCTGGAACTTGAGAATTGCTGTCCAAACTCAGATATCTGAGGCCTGGAAACACTACCTGTAGGTTTGGGTAAGAGGAGCACCTTGGGAAATCTGCTGTCACCTCATGCTGTGTACGCCACCCAGCCACCTTGCACCCCCACACACGGTAGATTGCCTCCTGCCCTACAGATCCTGCTGGTCCCTCTTGTAATCCAGTGCTGTCTGTGGCATGGGTGGCTCCAGAATTGGAGAAGAAAATGTACTGGGCGTTTTGGGGTTCATTTTCTTGCCATCTTCTCCACTCTCCCATTTTCAAATAGAGAAAAAATGCAGCTCTGAGGCCCACAACCTGCATCTGTGGAAAAGCTTCCAAAGTCTTCTTTGGGAGTAGACACAGGGACCAGCAGGGGCTGTGGGTAAAGAGCAAGCTTTTGCTCACTGCCCTTAAGGAGGGAGGAAGATATGGTAAGGGAGCCCAAAGCTGGGTCCCCAACTGGTGCCTGCATCAGTTGAACAGCATGGATGGTTTACATAGGCAGCCTGCAGGGGCTCTAGGATTTCCCACCCTGTTGTCACCAGTTTTCAATGGAATGAGGGCACATTATAGCTCACACAAAGAGCAATCATGTGGGAAGCAAAAGAAGCTGTTCAAGGCCTATATCCAGCTATCTTCTCTCCTTGGCTTTTAACCTGCCTTTCCCCCTCTTTCCCCACCTGGGGGCCTGCATTGCCTGAGTTCAACCCCAATACAAAACAAAACAAAACAAAAAAAAAACCTCATGGTGGCCTTTTCACCATCATGACACCGCGTCATGTTTCTCAGGCTCTCTTCTTCCCTGAACTGGCAATCTTCCCACTGCCAACCCAAATGCACTGAGCCACTGCAGTGAGGAAATCAGCCAGCCAGCCCTGCCTCAGCCCTGCCTGCAAATCCTGGCTGTTTTCAGGGACCAGGGAGCCAAGTGGTGGTGGCAAAGGAAGTAGCTTCCAGAAAGAAGACACAGAGTGTGGTACTGGGGATTAAACCCAGGGGTGCTTTACCACCTCCCCAGCCCTTTTTATTTTTTATTGTAAGACAGGGTCTCAATAATAACACTCGTGCTGTGTGCTGTCCATCCCCTCAGGGAAGAAAGAAAAAGGGTCCAGTGGAGCTGGACTTTCTACCCCAGGGATGCAGAGGAAAAAAGCTAACAGTCATCAGGTCTCTGCCATGGGCACTAGTATCCCTGAGTAGCCGCTAATTTGATACATACTGGCTTTGGGACAGGCATGGTATGAAGTGCTTTGCATGTGTTTAATACCATCAGGACCTTTAGGAGGCAGCTATAAAACCTCTAATTTACTGATGTGGATATGGAAGCTTAGAGGATAAGGTAGCTATTCAAAGTCACAGAAAAATAATCCATCTCAGGCCTGACCGATTCCACCGTGCTTGGCTGCGTGTCCCTGGGTCCACACAATGATGAGATAAATCTAAGAGGCCATCTGACCCAGGGCACTCCAGAGAAGAAAGGAAAATCTCTCGGACCCCTTGCGTGAGAATGTACCCTGCCATGAAGTAGGGCTGGTATGTGCAAGCTCCTCAGCTGCCAGGAATAGCTTGGTGAGGAGGCTTTTTCCTTTCTCCCCCGTGAATGCCCACTTCCTGAAGCGCCATCCCAACCCATGGAGGATCAAGAAGGGGAATCTCAGCTTTCAGCACCTGCTTTTCTTGGGAAACCGGTGTTCCCTCTTGTCACCAAATAGAAGTCTGAGAAGTTTGTCCAGAAGAGAGGAGACCTCAACTTGGTCCCTGCAGGCTCTTGACATACTTTGCAGAAAAAAAATTCAGGATACATTAGAAAAGGCACAATCACAAATTTATTCAGGAAAGCACACTCAAAGGCACAGAGTGTGGTACTGGGGATTAAACCCAGGGGTGCTTTACCACCTCCCCAGCCCTTTTTATTTTTTATTGTAAGACAGGATCTCAATAAGTTCCTGAGGCTGGCTTTGAACCTGTGATTCTTCTGAGTCACTGGGATTACAGGTGTGTGCCACTGCACTCTGCAGCACTCTTTTTAAAAATATTTTTTGAAGTTGTAGATGGACACAATACCTTTATTCTATTTATTTATCTTTATGTGGTGCTGAGGATCAAACTCAGGCCCTCACACATGCTAGGCAAGCTCTCTACCACTGAGCTACAACCCCAGCCCCACTTTTTTTTTAAAGGGAATTTTGTAAAGAGTAAAGAGAAGAGGTATGTCTGGTGAGCTCAATTCTTTTAACCATGGAGCACAGGGTAGGTCATGGTGATCAGGTTCTTTTCAGGATCTCTAGGTTGACATTATCTAGTTAATAGATAACATTTGAAACATACCCATCATTTCTCCCTTGGCTAAAGAAAATGTTGTGTAAGCAAGCAATGTATTTTGGCATTAATTAACTGGACTCACAGTACTCTTAAGATCCAGGGGCCTTTTAGGAATTTAGGTCTGGAGGAAAACCGGCCTGGGGAGCAAAGATGAGGGTGTCCGTGGAGTTTCTTAAAGTTACAGTTTCTTTTCTTTTTTTCTGTGGTACTAAGGATTGAAAACCGAGGGACACTCTGCCACTGAGCTATACCACCAACTGCCTTTAAAGTTTTGACACATGGTCTAAGTTGCGGGGAGGCTGGCTTCAAACTGCCTTATCCTCCTGCCTGAGCCTCCCAATAGCTGAGGTTACCGACATCTGCAACCACACCCAGGTGGGGATTTTTCCCCCCTTTTCTGATGGTCTCCTTTCTACCTATCCTTATTTCTTCTTCCTCATTCTTGGCCCATTTTCTCCAAAAGGGCCTCATTCTGGATGGTTCCCTGTGGCAGCAGGTGAAAGGAGCTTGCCAGCTGCTTCCCCCGAGCCCCAGGGCAGCTTGTTTCATTCTTCTCTCTCCCTTCACGTCTCCTAGAATCCAGGCCACCAGATGGCCTGAGCAGGCTGTGTTTATTTGGGGCCATGGAAACCTGCAGTTTCCTTTTCCTATGGCTCTGAGTCAGGTAGAGGCTGGAGTCCAGCCTGGGAACAAAGGCTGTCTTGAAACAGCTCCAGCTTTATTACTCACCATCCTCTACCTAGACCTGAGCGCCTGGCTCTGCTCCCCCAAGCAGCTTATTCTAGTTACCATGGAGACATTTATGTTCCTTCTGGGGTCTTGGGACTAAGTCAGACAAGGAGGGACCCAGGAGACTCTCCTTCCTACCTCGTGCCCAAGAGGAGCAGTCAATTGCCAACCCTTCCTAGTCGGAGTATACAAAGCCAGGGTTGGAAAATGGTGTATTCTGATGATGCTGAGATGGTACTGGCTTGATTAGAAGACAGTCTCCTGTTTCAATGGTCAATATCCCCAGGAGATATTTAAAATATCCCAGAGGCTTATTTTTCTAGGTGATTATGCTTTTTCCTAAAAATTGAACTCTTCATTAAGAAACCACCACAAGTACTACTAATAATTACATTTATGGAGCTCTGTTTTCCTTTACACACTGCCTCTCCACTAAGTCACTTAAGTAAGGGTTAGCTGTTTTCAAATACTACTGTCTCTATTTCCAGCCTGTTTCAGAATCAGAATCTCTTGAGTTCCGGAGTCCTGTGTCAACAGGGCTCTGCTTGGCCTGCCATCTCCCTCTACTCTTCTACCATCCCCTTATCTTCTAACTGGAAGAAACCCCCATTATTCTCCGTAAAGCTGGAGAGTGTGGACCAGTCCACGTTTGGGGAATATTTTTTCCATGACCTGCCTCCCATTCCTGCACGGCACGGGGGATAAGCCAGTACTATGCACACCCGCAGGCTCGGGGAGGATGACTCACTGGCTGCCTTGTGGGAAGACCTGAAGTCCTAAAGCTCAGCTCTACCTGAACTCAGCTTCAAACACACATTCCCTTGGGGCTGAGGCTGTGGTTCATGGTAGATGTGTAGATGTGTGAGGTAGATGTGTGGTAGATGTGTGAGGCACTGGGTTCAATCCTCAGCACCGCATATAAATAAATGAAGGTCCATCAACAACTCATAAAATATTTAAAACAAACACACACACATTCCCACAGAATTCACTTGATCCTCCTGGGTGGAGTGCCCCCCCTGTGCCATGTTCTGGGTGCTGGGAATACAGCAGGGAGCCAGCACCCTCCTGGAGCTTACCTTCTGGCAACAGACAGGCAGTTAAATTAGAAAAATAAGACTTGGTGATTTAAAAAAAAAAAAATGACAAGTCAGAGCAGAATAGAGGGATGCGGGGCGTGCGGCCGGCGGTGGGCGGTGACCAGGTGCAGGGAAACCTCACTGGTGTGCTTCATTCGACCTCAAGATACCGACACAGAGAGGGAGACAAGTGGTTTCTGGGGAACCACACGAATCCGGTTGTGGGTTTTTTTTTTTTTTTTTTTTGGTCTGTTTGCGGGGTCTGGCCGACATCTGCTCCGCGTCAACCAGGCCTCCTCAGAGGCACAGCCGGGAACACAGTTCGTCGCCTCCGGGAGGCGGGTCCTCGAGGCTGCGCGGAACCTTAAATCCGCAGAGCAGCGCAATCTTGCGGACCACGAGGAGAGCGCGCACGCCGGAAGCTGCCCAGAGGCCGAACATGGCGACCGCCTGGGTCCTGCGCTGGGCCCTGAGCCGAACTGGAGCCTGGCTGCTCCCGCCGCCCGCGCGCTTCCCGTGCCGGACTCTACACAAGCAGGTAGACGGCACCGAGTTCCAGAGCATCTACAGCTTGGACAAGCTCTACCCTGACTCCAAGGGTTCGGACACCGCTTGGAGGGTCCCGGTGAGCCGGGAAGGGCCGGACGGAAGGGGCGTTTCCTCCCGCAGCTGGGTGACGTCAGGAGGCCGGGAGCCCATTGGCCGGCCGCGGGGCTACGAAGGGTCGCCGCGGATAGAGGCTGGTTGGCCGATCACCGGGGCCGGGTACTGCAGAGGTGCAGTGGCGCCGGGTGTGACCCCGGCTGCGCGGGCTCAGGGGTAGCAGGCTAGACTCACTGCTTTGAGACCACCAGCTTTTCCACGTTTGTTTTCCAGTCCTCGGGCTCAAATTCTTGTCCCAAGGGAAATGTGGGCATTCTGGCCCTCCCAAGTGGACAGTAAAGACCGATTCTGGCAAGTTCTTTGCTACCAATTTGGAACGTTGCATGGCCCATTGCCTCTAGTAACCCCAACACGTCTGAGGAAACAGCGTTTCCCGTTTGGTCCTTCAGGATTTATTTATTTAGCTCATTGTTTGCAGGTACTGCACATGCCAGAACGATGGAACCCACCTGGTTCTGTTGAGCTAGCACCTACAGCACTGCAAGATAATGCAGTTTTTTTTCTTTCTTTCATTCACTCACTTATCCAGCAAACTTATTGGGAAGGTGCTGTGCTGCACTAGCTAGACCAGGGCACAGAGTAGTAAACAAAAAAAAAAATCCGAATGCTGTGGTGTTTATAGTCTACTGGAGGGAGACAGGCAAAAAAAAAATAAGTAATATAGAATGTATAATATGGTATCTGGAGAAAGTAAAGCCCAAAGGAAGAGAGAGCACCAGAGGTTGCAGTTTTAATTAGGGTGGTCTGGAAAGGCCTCAGTGAAGAGGTGACATTCGAGTAAAGACCTCGAAGAAACAAGACAATGAGCCATGAGAATACTGGGGAGGCAAACATCCCAGCCAGAGGGAACAGTAAGTGCAACCCACTTAAGGCAGTAGTATGTTGGAGCGCTGTAGCTGAACAGGACATTCAGAGGAAGTAAAGCTAAAGAGGAGAAGGATGGTTGGGGAAAGGCCTGTGATTAGGGCTTATTGGCCTCAATTTTCTGCTGAATGTAATAGAGACCTGTTGGAGAGTTTGAAGCAGAAGATTGGAATGATGCACCTTGATTTTACCAGGATCACTTGTAGAGCCTTACAGAGAGGAGACTAGAAGATGGCACTAATATAGACAAGAGGATAAGCAATGTGGAAGCAATAGGAATCTTGAGAATTGGTCAGATCCTAAATATATTTTGAAGGGAAAGCCATAGGGTTTGCTAATGGATTGGATATGAGAAGTAATAAGTGAAATTGAAGTCTAAAGCCTGGGGCAATGGAAGCATTGACTTGCTATTAGCATGAGAGAGTACAAAAACATTCATTTGTCCTTTCATTCAACAAAAAGTTTATCGTGTACTTACTATTTCAAGCATAGCAGATACAGCCATGATAGACAAGATCCCTGCCTGGTGGAGCCTGTGTTCTAGTAAAAGCAGTAGACAGTTAGCAAATCAGGAAAATATCAGAAGATAAAAAAAATGAATTGGCCAGTGTGCTATAGTAGAAAAAATTACGGACTACTTCAGATTGTTAGAGGGAAGTCCCCTGGGAGGAGGCCTGAGGTTTGAGGCAACCATTAGGCATCAGAGTAGCTGCTGGGACATGGGATTAGAGTTAAGCAAAGAGGTGGGTTTGGACCAGAAAGTTGGGAATCAGCAACACAAGAGGGATGAAGAAAGAGGAAGAAATGTTTCAGGGTCATATCAGTGTTTAAAAGTTGCAAAAACCTAGCAAAGAAGAGTGAGAAAGAGGCTCAGGGAAGTTAGAGGAAAACCTGGAGAGGATATCTTAGGAGAAAGAGGAAGCGCAAGCTTTAGGAAAGAGGGTGTGGCCCATGGTTTTCAGGTCTGGGGAGAGGTAAGCAGGCTAAGGGTTTCATCTCCAAATAATTCTAAGATAAAGGGAATGAAGGCAGTCAGCAGGGGTTACAGGTAAGGACACTTTTGTCTTAGAGGGTCAGAAAAGCCTCAGAGCTGGTGGTATTTATGCTGAGCCTTGGGGACCCAAAGATATTGAAGGCTGAAGGGTATTGCTGCCAGAGGAAGAGCTTCAGGAGAGGCAGGTAAGTAGGCCTGGGGCAGAGTAGTTCAGTCTGACCTGAACCCTTAAGTCCTGTTCAGGGTGGATCCACTCACATGTGAGTCTCATATGGAGATCAGAGTGGCCCACCAGGGTTGTTCTCTGGGTTGGCAGAGAGTGTTGCCTTGGAAATCTCCTGAAACATGTACACGGAGGCTTCCTCCACACACTGCAGGAGCCAGGCCCTTGATGGTGCCTGTACTATCTAAGGAACTAGCTCTAGGAATGGCTTAGAGACACCAGTTCTGTTTTCGCTGAGGGGTGTTTCTCAGTTAGTGCCTCTGGAGACTGGGGGATCCTTTTTCTGTTACTCTGATGCGATGATTTTGCTGGGGAAATGAAAATAGTGACATATTACATTTGCACTGTGGATTTCCATCATTTCTTTTATTGCTCTGGACCAGCTAAGAGTCACCCAGCAGGTGATAGCCACGTGACCTGTGTATATTACATTACAGGATGATGCAAAGCAAGCCAGCAATGACATCCCACTAGGTAAGTGGTTTTGTTTTAGTAAAAATCAGCCATTTTAAGCCAAGCTCAGTAACTTATGACTGTAATCCCATTACTTGGGAGGCTGAGTGAGAGTGAGGCAGGAGGATTGCAAGTTCAAGCCCTTTTATTTTGAAACCCTAACTTGAAATTAAATAAAATAAAAGGGCTGGGGATATAGTTCAGTGCTTGCTTACCATGTATGAAGCCCTGAGTTTAATCTCCAATACTGCCCTGACCCCCCCCCAAAAAAAAATACCAAACCACTCATTTCAGGCTGGTGGTATAGCTTAGTTGTAGAGTGTCGGCCTAGCCTGTGTGAGGCCCCAGGTTTGATCCCCAGCACAATAAGAACAACAACAACAAAAAGACATTTCCCACCCCTCACATGTTCCTTCCAGATCTCACCAGCCCAATTTAAGTTTATTAAAAAAAAATAAATAAAATAGACATTATTATTGCTGTATGTATATATGTGACTGTATGATCAATGTGATTCTGCAACCTGTACAATCAGAAAAATGAGAAATTATACCCCATTTCATTCAAATATATGAAATGTCAAGATCATTGTACTGTCATATATTGTAATAATAAAAATAAATAAAAAATCCCAAGAAATGAAGAGTAAAAAAAAAAAAAAAAATTCCCAGCGTGTAAAAGTGAAGTTTCTAGCATTGTTTAAAACAGCATATGAGCAACAGGGCAACCACTCGTGGAGTACCACCCAGTATGCCCGCAGATGCAGACCTCCTGATGTGCTCATGATATAGAAGTTTTTACAGTAAATGAGTTGATTTTTGTGGGAATAAGAAGGTACAGGGGAGCTTAAAAGCTGTCAGTTTTCTTTCACATATGTATTTACATTTGTGTATTTGTATCTGTTTATCTGAGTGTGCATGTGTGTGTATATCTCAAAGACCTGGATACCAGGCTAGAGAAGTGGCTCAGTGGTAGAGTATTTGCATAACTTCAGAATTCTGTACCTGTCAGCATAGGGCCTGGCAAGAAGCAGTGAGCCTTTAGAGTCAGAGAGCTATGCCTCCCACAAACAGTGAAAGGGAGAGTAGCCAAAGGTTTGGGGTTCCTCTGACACTAAAGCAGAGAGGCCAGAGACTGCAACACATGGGATAGGACACCTGTGGCTGAGGAGCCGCAGCAAAGTGGTTTACAGCTCACAGCTCAGCCCTAGAGTGCGTGGAGGGGAGGGAGTGGAAAGCCATGTATCAACAGAACTGGAGGCAGAGAAGTGTCTCATGCAGCCTTCCCAGGAAGATAGACAGCTTCCCAGTGGGCAGTGGCCTTGAGCAACTCCTTCCTGGCCTCCCATACTCTCTTGTTCTGGGAGGACCTCACCACATTCTGTTCCTGCAAAGGCAGACTGCTGCTCTCGTCCTGGCCCAGGTGGCTGGTGTGTTTACATGCTAGGTTGCAGAGCCCCATGGTAGAATCATTCCCTTGACCATTTGTTACCTGATCAGAACAAGAATTTAATTCTTTTTTTTTTCAAAAGAGGAAGGCCCCTCAGCAGCAGTTCTGAGATGGGACATCACTGCCCACAGAGCACTGCACCTGCCCCCACGGTGCCACAGTGCTTCACTACCAGACCTCTTTCGGTTCACAGCTTGTCTTCTGAAACCTTCCCACCACCATGCCTTCACTACCTAGCTACTGCTAGACTGTTTTCATTAATTATAAAAGTGGAAGGAAAAAACTTATAGACTAAAAGTAAACAAAACCAAAACCCAGAGAAGCACTGGGACTTTGCTAACATCACACAGTGGCTGCGTAAGTGTTCAAAGTGAGGGCTCCTATCTCCAGACCAAGTCCTCATTCATCCCGCAAATGTTTTTAGCACTGACCTTGACCTAGGCTCTGGGAACGCACAATGATTCTCAGACACAGTCCTGCCCTCCTGAAGCTTACAGTTCCTAGGGATTCCTTGTCCACCACACTTTGAGATACTTGAACTTGTCTGGGTTAAGTTTGAACTTTCAAAAGTTCAAACTTTAAACAAACAGCAAATAAATAGGGCAGAAGGATCTGGTGGAATGTGCTAGACCAGAAGAGGACAGTCCAGAACCCAGTCATAATTTTATTTCTCTGCTGTTTCTATGACCTTGGGGAAGTACTTGCCCTTTATTTCAGTTTTGACATCTATAAATACTCTACAGCTTTACTGGCCTGAATACTACATTTGTGTGTGCCTTGTGTGATTGAAAGAGATGTGTAATAAGGACAGTTACGTTGATAGTTAGCAGTCTGTACATTTGGCCATGGGATAACCCTTTGGGTGTGCATCCTTTCATTTTATAGATCGCTTGACGATATCTTACTGTCGGAGTAGTGGTCCCGGCGGGCAGAATGTAAACAAAGGTACAGGTACCTTGGTGTTTTCTGTTGCTTTAAAACTTAGCTGGGAGAGGGGATTGAAGAGGGAGCTGTTTTTACATTCATGTGGAATAAAGGGATTTTTTTCAGCCAAAGCTTAAATACCACCAGCTTATAATAATCCTCTTTATCCTTTTGAATGTGGTCTGATTCTCAGGCTCTCAGCTATGGCTTGCTAGGAGTAGGATTGGCTTGTGAAGCTAAACAAAGAGAACTCACAGTGTGAGCTGGCAGCCAGCTCCAAGAACAGGTTTCCTTCATTCTTGTGGAACCCATTCCCCCCATTATTTACAGAAGCCAGTAAAACTGGAAGAGGAGCATTGCATGGGTAGTTACCAGAAGGTTTTTTGTCCTGAAGAGCCTCACTGCCTTTGCGGGCTCGTTCCATGGCCAACTTCGACAAAGGCCAGCACATGCATGGCTGGGTATCTGACTTCCCTTGGTTCCAGGATAGTCACTGGTCCCCTGGGTGCTTTATCTTCCCAAGTCTCAGTGACCACTACTCCTTTCTTTCATCCGCAGTGAATTCCAAGGCTGAAGTCAGGTTCCATTTGGCCACAGCTGACTGGATTGCAGAGCCTGTGAGGCAGAAGATTGCGCTCAAGGTAACCACTCTCCCTTTATTTCCCTGCAGATTCATCAGCGGCTTCTAAACCTTTACTCTGCAGAACTCCACTTTTGTTCTTTCAGCATAAAAATAAGATCAACAGGGAAGGAGAGTTGATACTCACCTCCGAAAGCAGCCGCTATCAGTTCCGGAATCTGGCAGATTGCCTACAGAAAATTCGAGATATAATTGCAGAGGCCAGCCAGATGCCCAAGGAGCCATCCAAAGAAGATGCTCAACTTCAGAGAATCAGGTACCAAAAGATGTCCTAGGTTGTGTAGACTGATTCACATGGGCAAGAGCTGGACAGGAAAGAAAGGAGGCAGGATGAAGTCCAAGAGGCCCAAGCAGGCATGGAGAGTCTGCAGGAGGGGCAGGGACTCACCCTGGACGGGGTGTGCATCTTCGCCTGGTGACCAGGCTGTTCTGCCTCCCACTCAGCTTCCCACCATTCCCACCACTTTGAAAGGCACTGATTGGGCATTTGGGTCTCATTGTGGTCTTTTTGTTTTCAGGATAGAAAACATGAATCGGGAAAGGCTGAAACAAAAGAGAATAAATTCTGCCATAAAGACAAGCAGGAGGGTAGACATGGACTGAAATCCCCCCAGCATCCACTCTTCAGGGCATTGGAGCAGCTGCAGCTGAGAGACCTGTAACGCCATGAAGATATTTGTTTTCTTTATCTTTTTTGCTGTTAACATTGGAACTGTTAAGAGAGTATTCATTTGGAATGAGGGCTTCAGGCACTGGTTGCAGATCTTCATATACCATCACCATGTTGTTAAACCATAGTTACCCATTGACTGTATTATTAACTGCAATAAAATTTGTTTTTTTGATACCGGGAATTGAACCTGGGGACATTTAATCACTGAACCACATCTCCAGCTCCTTTTTGTATTTTATTAGAGACAGGAACTCTCTGCATTGCCTAGGGCCTTGCTAAGTTATTGAGGCTGGCTTTGAACTCTCAATCTTCCTGCCTCAGCCTCCCGAGCCACTGGGATTACAGGTGTGCACCTGGCTTGCAGTAAACTTGTTAAGCTCGATGGGCCTTGCCTGTCAGAATGCTTCAAGACAAGAAGCACTGACCTTTTTTCTCACCTGAAATCTACCCCACTATCACTGCCTCAGCGCTGATGATTTCACAGCTTACTGCTAGAGAATAGAGGGCTCTGGATCTTCCATCAAGGAACACACAGCTAGGCAGAAGGGCATTTGAGCTAGGACTTGAAAAAGGTATAGGATTTCAATCAGTAGAGAGGGAGTATAATATGCTATTTGAAAGGAAAAGTGTAAATCCAGGAGACAGAAGGGCTAGGGTGCAGGATGTGACAAGGAAGCCATTGGTACTGAATGGCAGATTCCTGCAGGGGCTTGTTGGAAGTCCATCTAGAAAGGCAGAGGCTCTATTAGAGACCCTGGAACTCAAGGTAAAGAGTTAATCTGGGGCAGTACTAGTGATTGAACCAAGGGCATTTTACTCTGAGCTACATCTCCAGCCACCCCAACCTTTTTTTGAAACAGGGTCTCATTAAATTGCCTAGGCTGGTCTCAAACTTGAGATCTCCTGCCTCAGCTTCCTGAGTTGCTGGGATTACAGGTATGCACCACCATGCCTGACCATGGTAAGATTTGGATTTCGTGAAACATTAGGTAGCAGGAAGCCATTAAGAATTCGAGTGAGTATTGCGTATTAGGTGTATATTAAATATGGCAGTAGGCTTTAGAGGCAGGAAGAGTACACTGAAATTGAAAAGAGACTTTTGCAGTCCTGTGGGTGTGGAACAAGCACCCAGGCTAGGGACCTAGGCTAATATAACAGTGGTGGATTATTCTGGTATGTATGAAGTTCTTCAAATGCTCTATATTATTTTGATGCAGTTCTCTCATTTGATAAATACCAGATCATGATGATCCAAGTGTAAGGTAATGAACTATAGTAGTATATACACTTGAGTAGGCACCTCATCGTTCATATAGATAAGTCCAGACCAGGGGGTAAGTCATTTTCAAGTGACTGGCAAAATACAGAAGATGTGGAGCTGGGGTTGCGGCTCAGCAGTAGAGTGCTCGCCTCGCACTTGTGAGACCCTGGGTTTGATCCTCAGCACCACATAAAAGTAAATTAAGTGAAGTGGAGGTATTGTGTCCAACTATAACTAAAAAATATTTTTAAAAAACTACAGAAGATGTGGAAGATAGGACTCAGAGCCTCGGGGCTGAATCTGTATGCAGGACATACAACATTCATTCAGTAATTCAGTAGAACTGAATGCCAAGGGCCATGTGAGGTGAGTCAGCAGTGAACTAAAGTCCATCATTCCAGAGAATTGGCATCTGTCAGATGATGACAAAACAGAAGGAAAGATGGATTCCTGTAACAGTTACATGACCTAAAGCATAGTCAATGACACAAGCAAAGCAAATGGACTAGGGACAGAGAGCAGAGCTGGCTGGTGGGTCAGAGAAGATGTACTTGAGGTGCTTGAGATGGGCCCTAAGGAGGGCAGGAGCTGCTCAGGCAAGCAAGGGAAGGGCATCTAGATGAGTGACCAGAGCTCAGTGCACTGAGCAAGCACTCAGGGAAGGACAGCTGTGACTTCTGGCCCAGTTCTTCAGGAACCCAGGGCACAAGTTGCTGTGAAAGACGAGTCTGCCACACCAAATG